TCGGGTGAGTCGGACCTCCGGGAGCCTGCCCTAAGAGGAGGGTGAGCGCGGAGCCTTTGTTCGCGCACGTGCGGGCCTGACTCGCCGGAGTCCGCGGGGATGGGGCGGGGCGAGGGTCCGTCCAGGGCGGGGAAGGCTCCTGCGACTCAGCATTGCTTAAGGCCCTGAAGCCCCACCTACCCAGGTCACCTCGGATAAGGGGCTCTGAGCGCCTTGGAGCACAAGAAAGCCAAAGGCTGGCAGCCACCCCAGACCGTGATGGGGGTCTGGGAACCTGGGGCTGGGGAGTCATTCTAGGCAGAGGAACACACCTCATGAGGCTCTGTGGACAGGGCGCTTGCTGCAGGCCAAGTTAGGCCCGAATGGGGCCACCAGGCCCTGAGTCCCCCTGGCCCACCTCTGCCCCGGGCCCCCGCCCTAGCCACCAACTCAGGGTGCTTCTGAGAGCCAGATGTCGGAGTGTTCTTTCCACACCCTCGGAGCCAGCAACAGCAGAGCCCCCAGGCTAGACAGGGGCCCCTGTGAACCGGGCTTGGGGAACAAACGAGCCAGGGGCTTCCTCCCATGATCTTCATTCAGCCCTGAAGGCCCTGGTGGGCCCCCACTGCCTGCTCCCAGCGCCCACTGTAGTTGGCTTCCTTCCTGGGATAGAGCCCTGACACCCAGCCTGCCTGGACCCTAACTTGGCGTTTCTCCTTGGGTTCTGTCCACCCTCGCTATGGGACGTCAAAGACCTGGGCCCCTCTCAGAAGCAGTATTTGACCCTGGACCGATGCAGGTGGCCCACACTGCTCTGGGCCTGGGACTGTAGGAGAGTGGGGATATCTCCTATGCCTCTCAGTGTCCCCTCCAGAGGAGAAGGGCTGGGCCAGAGCTCAGTGATCACCCTGGGTCTGGAAGGTCTGGCCTTGAAACCCACGGCAGTAGAGGTCCTGCTTGGCGGCTGTGAGAGAAGCCTGGGTGCTCTGGCTGCAGACAGGACCCTCTAGCTTCCTTCTCAGTCTCTAGGCTGCTCTCATCCCTCTGTCCATGGCTCCTTGAGGTCTCCAGGCCGCTCTCATCCCTCTGTCCATAGCCCCCAGTGGGGAATGTGCATGTTTCCCAGTTCCCTGCCATTCCTTCTCACATCCGGAGAATGGGCTCTGGCTTCCCTAATGGGGAAGGTCTGGGCTTCAGATAGTGTCTGTGCCATCGTCTGGAGGGAGGGGACAAGTGAGGCTGGAAGGGAGCAGGGCAGCACTAAGCTGTCTGGGCCTCCCTGGCTTCCTAGCAGTCACTGAGCTGGCTGTGTCTTCCTGGCCTCCTGGTGGTCACTCAGCCGGGCCTCCCTGGCATCCTGATGGTCACTGAGCTGGGCTGTGCCTCCCTGGCCTCCTCGTGGCCACTGAGCTGGCTGGGCCTCCCTGGCCTCCTGGTGCTCACTTAGCTGGACTGTGCCTCCCTGGACTCCTGGTGGCTACTGAGCTACCTGGGCCTCCCTGGCCTCCTGGCACTCACTTAGCTGGGCTGTGCCTCCCTGGACTTCTGGTGGTCCCTGAGCTGGCTGGGCCTCCCTGGCCTCCTGGTGCTCACTTAGCTGGACTGGGCCTCCCTGACCTTCTGGTGGCCACTGAGCTAGCTGGCCTCCCTGGCCTCCTGGTGGCCACTGAGCTAGCTGGCCTCCCTGGTCTCCTGGTGGTCACTCAGCTGGGTCTCCCTGGCTTCCTTGTCACTGAGCTGGGCTGTGCCTCCATAGCCTCCTGGTTGTCACTGAGCTGGGCCTCCCTGGCCTCCTGGTGGTCACTGAGCTGGGCCTCCCCCGGCCTCCTGATAATCACTGAGCTGGCTGGGCCTTCCTGACCTCCTGGTGCTCACTTAGCTGGGCTGTGCTACCCTGGCTTCCTGGTGGCCACTGAGCTAGCTGGGCCTCCCTGGCCTCCTGGTGGTTACTCAGATGGATCTCCCTGGCTTCCTTGTAGTCACTGAGCTGAGCTGTGCCTCTCTGGTCTCCTGGTGGTCACTGAGCTGGACTGGGCCTCCCTGGCCTCCTGGCGGTCACTGAGCTGGCTGTGCCTACCTGGCCTCCTGGCAGTCACTGAGCTGGGCTGGGCCTCCCCGGACTCCTGGTAACCACTGAGTTGGCTGTGCCTTCCTGGTCTCCTGGTGGTCCCTGAGCTGCCTGGGCCTCCCTGGCCGCTGGGTCTCTGAGATGCCATCTCAGGGGAAGCCAGCTCCACCTAAGCAGTTTCTGCCACTACCTGCGATAAGCCATAGCCCCTCAGACAGGCTAGAAACCTGGGGACCCATTGCCCTGCGTGTCCCTGACAGGCACTGCCATGGTCCATTTCTAGCTTCAGGTACCTGCTTGTCCCTTCCAGAGCTGACTGCCTAGAGGCAGACATCCTGACGCCCAGTGAGACCTGGGCCCTGGCAGGGGAGCCCAGGTGAGTGGTACATGAAAGGGTGAAGTGGTACACCCTGACCCCTCTTCTTTTAAAGGTGGGCCCTCCTGGACCCAGGAGCGGACCCTGGTGGCGGTGAAGCCAGATGGGGTGCAGCGGCGGCTGGTTGGGGACGTGATCCAGCGCTTCGAGAGGCGGGGCTTCAAGCTGGTGGGGATGAAGATGCTACAGGTACCAGTGTTCTTAGCTCGTGGGCTGGGCTGCTTCTCAGCTTTCCACACCCCAGCCCACATCAGTGTCCTGGCCTTGGCTGTTGGAGGGGCCGGGAGGGATCCTGCTGCAGCCTGAGTTATTTGCACAGTGCCAGGTCAGGGTGGCAACCACTGCCTGTGGCCTGGGCTTGCTCTCTGGTGGCTCCTTACTCATTCCCCACCCCCCAGGCACCAGAGCACGTCCTTGCCGAGCACTACCAAGACCTGCAGAGGAAGCCCTTCTACCCTGCCCTCATCAGCTACATGAGCTCCGGGCCCGTGGTGGCCATGGTATGGCGGGGCAGCGGTGGTGGGGGTTCAGGTATGCCCTCCCCAAGCAGAGGGAAGCGCCCTCGCTTGAGCCCAGGGGCTCCTGGCGCTCCCCACCTCTCCCTGGGCCTTTATCTTTTACTGTAGGTCTGGGAAGGGTACAACGTGGTCCGCGCCTCAAGGGCCATGATAGGACACACCGACTCGGCTGAGGCCGCCCCTGGGACCATACGGGGAGACTTCAGCTTCCACATCAGCAGGTATGGGAGCTCTGACATACTCAGCCGCCACTGGGGGTTGGGGAGGGCCAGCATTTGGAGTGGCGGCCTGTTCCTAGGGCAGATCCAGGGGACCTGGGCGTCTGAAGGTGAAGCCAGAAGAGACTTGGGGGTAGCACATGACTGCTCGTGTTGGTGACAATGGGTTTGTCACAGCCCATTCCTGTCCCTTTGTTTTGTGTGTGTCCTCTGCCATCACTGCCTGTTATTCATCTCACCAGACACCCTGCAAGGTTGGCACAGGACAACTGGGGGGCATAGGCTCTCAGAAGCCGGGCTCTGGGCTGGTCCATGAGGTTGCAAGGGACCGAGGCCAGGCTGGACCTGGTAGTCCTTTCCCTCTGCACGGTCACTGGCTTGCTGCCCTAGACACAGGGCCACAGGGGAGCACGGATTGCCCCTGGACTCCCCAGGGTGCATCTGAAACCTGAGCCTCACTTTGCCACCTGTCTCTGGCACAGGAATGTCATCCATGCCAGCGACTCTGTGGAGGGGGCCCAGAGGGAGATCATGCTGTGGTTCCAGAGCAGTGAGCTGGTGAGCTGGGCAGATGTAGGCCACCACAGCAGTGTCTACCCAGCCTGAGGCTCAGGCCACTCTCAGCCATCTCTGCACCCAACCAGGACCAACTACCTCGGCCAGCAAGAACTCAAGCCACACCCATACCTGCCTCTCCCAAGCTACTTCCCTATTCACTTCTGGCCCACCCCCACCCCAGGAGCTTGGGCCACCAACTGTTTGTGCCTTTCTGTATTATAAGCCAGCACAAGATTGGACTAAATCTTTTCTGCACCAAAGTGCCTGACAACCTTCAGGATGTCTTCAGAAGTGAGGAGCGTGACCTCTCCTCCCCTGAAGGGGAGACATTAAAAGTCACTGTGCCCAGCACAGGATGGTGCATTCATTGTGATTTCCACCATCTCTGATGTAGATATGATATTTTCATTCAAGTTGTAAGCAGTTTTAAGAGTAAACATGAAGTGCACTGTTTTGTACCCCCAGGAGGAGGAGCTCCATATTGGCTGGATATATGAGCTAGGCAGGGGTGCAGAGACCTGCAGCCTGAAATCTGGAGGAACCCGCACTGACCTGGGGTTGGTGCTGTCCCAGCCCCCATGCATCTGATCTTGCTGCCTTCCCTGGGCAAGACTAGAGGCTGCAGCTGGACCAGGTCAGGAAGGGGTGGGGGGCTGAGGTGCCCCAGGACAGAATGAGCCTGGTGACAATGGTCCTTCCCCCTGTGGCCTAAGTTGCCCATGGTTGATAGGAATGGCCTGTCATCCATTTATTGCCCTGATGCCACACATCACACCTCACCCTGGGTCCTGGAATCACTTCTTTTTTTTAGATGGAGTCTCTCTCACTCCGTCACCCAGGCTGGAGTGCAGTGGCATGCTCATGGCCACCCCAGCGTCCACCTGCTGGGCTCAGGCCATCCTTCCACCTCAGCCTTTCAAGGAGCCAGAACTACAAATGCACACTACAACGTCCAGCTAATTTGTTTTATTTTATTTTATTTTATTTATTTAAAACAATTTTTTTGAGTTGGGGTCTCACTCTGTCACCCAGACTGGAGTCCCAGTCACCACAGCCTCGACCTGCTGGGCTCCGGCGATCCTTCCGCCTCAGCCTTCCAAGTAGCTGGAACTACAGGCGCACGCTACCATGCCCAGCTAATTTTTTGATTAATCGTAGAGATGAGGTCTCGTCAAGTTGCCCGGGCAAGTCCCCAACCCGCGAGGTCAGGCAATTCACTCACCTTGGCCTCCCAAAGCGTTGGATTACAGGCTGAGCCACCGAGCCTGGCCTAAATTTTTTATTTATTGTAGAGGTGAGGTCTCCCCAAGTTGCCCAGGCTGTTCTCGAACCTTTGGGCTCAGGCAATTCTCTCACCTTGGCCTCCCAAAGTGCTGGTATTACAGGCTTGAGCCACCACACCTGGCCATCGAGCCACTTTTTTTTTTTTGAGTTGGAGTCTCTGTCGCCCAGACTGGAGTGCAGTGGCCGCTTTTGGCCACCGTAGCCTCGACCTGCTGGGCTCCGGCGATCCTTCCGCCTCAGCCTTACGAGTAGCTGAAACTACAGGCGCGTGCTACCACGCCTGGCTAGTTTTTAATTTATTGTAGAGATGTGGTCTCATCAAGTTGCCCAGGCGGGTCTCACACCCGTGGGCTCAGGCAATCCACTCACCTCAGCCTCCCAAAGGCACGGGAATACAGGCTGAGCCACCGAGCCCGGCTGGAGCCACTTCTTTTTTTTTTTTTTTTTTTTGAGTCGGAATCTCACTCTGTCGCCCAGACTGGAGTGCAGTGGCCGCTCCCGGCCACCGCAGCCTCGACCTGCTGGGCTCCAGCGATCCTTCCGCCTCAGCCTTCCGAGTAGCTGGAATTACAGGCATGCGCTACCACGCCCGGCTGATTTTTTGATTTATTGTAGAGATGAGGTCTCGCTGTCCCGGCGGGTCTTGAACCCGCGGGCTCAGGCAATCCACTCACCTCAGCCTCCCAAAGGCGCGGGATTACAGGCTGAGCCACCGAGCTTGGCTCTAATTTAATTTTTTTGAGTTGGAGTCTCACTGTGTCGCCCAGACTGGCATGCTCCCGGCCACCGCAGCTACCTGAGTTCCAGCAATCCTTCCACCTCAGCCATCCAAGTAGCTGGAACTATAGGTACGCGCTACCACAGCCGGCTAATTTTTTGATTTGTTGTGGAGATGAGGTCTTGCCAAATTGCCCAGGCAGGTCTCGAACCTGCAGGCTCAGGCAATTCACTTACCTCAGCCTCCCAAGGCACGGGATTACAGGTTGAGCCGCCGAGCCCAGCCTAATTTTTTATTTTATTATAGAGTCGAGATCTTGCCATGTTGCCCAGGTTGGTCTTGAACCCACAGGCTCAGGCAATCCACTCACCTCCGTCTCCCAAAACGCCGGGATTACAGGCTGAGCCACTGAGCCCAGCCTCCTTTTTCACATCTTGATGAGGAATGCCCAGGTCCTGAGTTCACTGCTCTGGCCACATCTGAGCGTCCACCACATGGTGCCTGGGTGAGCTGCCAGACCCTTCTTTCTTGGCCACGAAACAGGTCATTTTTGGACTTGGCACTGGGGCTGGCCATGTGAGAGAAAGGCCTTCCAGGTTTTCCTTGGCTTCCCGGGGCTCTGGTCTCCTTTCCGAACCTTTGGGCTCAGGCAATTCTCTTTTCCTTTGTCACATTTATACCACAGGGAAGTGTGCCGTTCAGAAGGCGCGTGGGTTAAATAGAGTCCCCCACCAGTGTCTGAAACATACAGTAGGCCCTGGTGGGAGTCCAGAGGCCCTGGCTGCCTGTCCTGAATCTAGGAACCAGGAACATCCAAGGTGTCCAGCAGGCTCCGAGTGGGGCACTGACATACAGTCTTTGTGAAAAGGACTCCAGGCTGGGCAGTGGCTCATGCATGTAATCCCAGCACTTTGAGAGGCTGAGACAGGAGGATGACTTTAGCTTAGTAGGTCAGGTTACAGTGAGCAGTGACCATACCACTGCACTCCAGACCGGATACCAGAGAATCTCTTTCAAAAACATTTTTTTAAAAGTTAGATTCTCAGCCGGGCTCGGTGGCTCAACCTGTAATCCCGCGCCTTTGGGAGGCTGAGGTGAGTGGATGGAGTCTCACTCTGTTTCCCAGGTTGAGTGCAGTGGCATGCTCACGGCCATTGCAGCCTCGACCTGCTGGGCTTAGGCCATCTGTCTGTCTCAGCCTTACAAGTAGCTGGAACCACAGGTGTGTGCCACCATGCTTGGCTAATTTTTAAATTTTTTGTAGAGATGAAGTCTCGCCAAGTTGCTCAGGCTGGTCTCGAACCCCTGGACTCAGACAATCCTCTCTCCTCAGCCTTCCAAATTGCTGGAATTACAGACGTGAGCCACTGCACCTGGCTTCAAAACATTTTTAAAAGGCTGGGTGCCCATCTTGATGGGACCTTGTCTCTACCATATTTTTTATTTATTTATCTATTTATTTATTTATTTTTTGAGTTAGAGTCTCACTCTGTCACCCAGACTGGAGTGCAGTGGCCACTCCCGGCCACCACAG